GGTCGGGGTCATCACACGGTGGGGTCGGGGCAGAGGTCACGTATGGATCACGTGAGGTCGGGGTGTGGTCATACTGGGGTCAGGGCGGGGTCACACGGGGGTCAGTGCAGGGGTCGGGGTGGGGTCAGAGTGGGGTCACGTGGAGGTCAGGGTGGGGTCATGTGAGGGCAGGGTGGGGTCACACAGGGGTCAGGGCGGGGTCACGACAGGGTCATCACACGGGGGTTGGGGTGGGGTCACGGGAGGGTGACACAGGGGTCAATGCGGGACCGTGGGGTCAGCAGGGTCAGGGTGGGGTCACCTCGGGGTCAGGTTGGGGTCACAGGGTCAGCGCTGCTCCCACGGGGGTCATGGGAGGGTCACTGAGGGGTCAGGGTGGGGTCACATGGGGGTCATCATGGAGTCAGAGGTCAGGGTCGAGTACGGGGTCCGGGTCACGAGGTCATCACAGGATCACTTTGGGCTTGTGGGGGGGTCATGGGTCAGGGGGTCACAGTCGCGGTCACTGTGAGGTCAGGGGTCAGGGTGACGGAGCCACTGTGGGTGAGGGGCCAGGGTCACGGCGGGGTCACGGCGGGGTCACGGGGTCAGGGGTCGCGGGCGCACACGCGTGTCTCACCCTCCGAGTAGTGCGAGAGCGTGAGCAGGCTGACGCAGGAGGCGCCGGCGCCCGAGCCGAACACGGTCACGCGCTTGGGGTCCCCGCCGAAGGCGCCCGCGTTCTCCTCCACCCAGCGCAGCGCCTGGATCTGGTCCAGGAGGCCGTAGTTGCCCTTGGCGGCCTGGTCGCCCGTGCTCAGGAAGCCTGCGGGTGGGGGGGGCGGGGACACGCCAAGAACACGCTAAGCACACGCGGAGCAAACGCCAAACACACGCGAAGTTCACGCTAAGAACACGCTAAACGCTAAGAACATGCCGAGCACACGCTAAGCACGCACTAAGAACACGACGAGCACACATTGCACGTGTGATGTGGGGCAGGGTCATGGAGGTCACGCAGGGTCACGCGAGGTCACAGGAAGTGGCAGTCGTCATGCGTACACTAAGCACATACTAAGTACACCCTAATGACACGTGGCACACGCCGTACGTGTGGGGCTCACGGGGATCACAGCGGGATCGTGGGAGTTCGAGCCGAGGTCAGGAAACGTCACACACGGCAGGCACACGCCACACACGTGAGGCGGGGATGGAGTCGCGAGGGGCCACGTCACGTGAGCTGTGTGCGTGTGTGTCATACGAGGGCGGGGTCAGGGGTCAAGTGCGGGGTCGGGGGTCAGGGGATGACAGCAGACGGAATCACACAGCGCCCACGTGCCACAGACACGCCAAGCACACGCCAAGCACACGCCAAGCACACGCCAAGCACACGCTAAGCACATGCCAGGCACACGCCAGGCCGGTGAGGCGGGGTCAGGGGTCAGGGGTCGGGGGCCGCTCACCGAGCACGCCCAGGCGGTAGTTGACGGTGACCACGATGACGTCGCCGTAGCTGGCGAGCACGCTGCCGTCCATCAGGTTCCCGCTGCCTTCCATGTAGGAGCCGCCGTGGATGTAGACCATGACCGGCCGGGGGTCGGCGCCGGGGTCGCGGGCGGCTGCGGGGTCACGGAAGGCGGGGTCACGGGGGCGGGGCCACGTTCTAGGCGGCTTCCCGCTCCACTTCCTGTCTTATTTCCTGCCCCATTTCCTGCCTTACTTCCTGTTTCCTGCCCCACTTCCTGTTTCCTGCCCGGCTTCCTGCCCCACTTCCTGTCTTACTTCCTGCTTCCTGCCCCACTTCCTGTTCCCTGCCCGGCTTCCTGCCCCATTTCCTGCCTTACTTCCTGTTTCCTGCCCCACTTCCTGTTTCCTGCCCGGCTTCCTGCCCCACTTCCTGCCTTACTTCCTGTTTCCTGCCCCACTTCCTGTTCCCTGCCCGGCTTCCTGCCCCACTTCCTGCCTTACTTCCTGCTTCCCGCCCCACTTCCTGTTCCCTGCCCGTCTTTCTACTCCCCTCATGATTATTCACAGATATGCAAACCCGAGCGATGAATATGCAGATTTATGCAAATGCCGCCTCCTCCCACACCAGGAAGCCCGTCGGGGGGGGGGCGCCGTGACCTTAAGGCGGGGGAGGTCGCGTGTCCTGTGACCCAGGGTCACCTGGGGGTCACCTGGGGGTCGCATGTCACGTGACTCGTGATTCCCCCCCTTCCCCCCAACCACGGGGTTTTTAAAAAAAAAAACGGTTTCCTCCGTGTTCAGCCATGACGAGGAGAAAAGGACGCGGGGCCGCACACGGTAAAAAAAAAAAAAAGCCAAAAAAAAAAAAACCGAGACGATGATGAGATCATGCACCGGGGGGCCGGGCGCGGGCAACGCAAGAAAGTCGTTAAGGAGAAATCGGGAAAAAAAAAAGACGAGAAAACTGATAAAATCGATAAAATTATAAAACCGATAAAATCGATAAAGTCGATAAGAACGACAAAAAACGATAAAGTCGATAAGACAACAAAAAAACTGATAAAAACGATAAAACGAGAAAATCGATAAATTGACAAAAAACCGATGGAATCAATAAAATCGATTATAAAAAACTCGATACCTTCGTCGTCACCACGCGTGTGAGCCGTGATGTCATCAGCGGTTTTCCCCGTGTTCGCTCCTGGGTCGGACGGGGACGGGGACGGGGGGGGGGGAGAACGAAAATTAACACGGAGCCGGCGGCCGACACGCGTGTCGAAAAGCCGGGAAAACCGAGAAGAGAGACGGAAAAACGTAAAACTTGAGAAAACGAGGACGGGGAAAAAACGGGATTCGAGGCTGTGTGCGAGAAAAAAAAACAGGGATCACGTGACCGCACACACGTGGCACATGCGTCACCGGGAACCGTGGGACCGTGTGATGTGGTGAGGCCGCACGGGGAAGAATCCAGGGGGTCGCCACACGTGTGTCAGGACTCACGGCTCCCTCCCGCACACGTGACCTCTGACCTCCTCCACACGCTGATGATGTCACTCCGTGTGCGCCCTGTCCACGTGATGTCATCGTACTCTGACCTCACCCGACCCCAAGTGTAAAACATGAGTCGCTTCCGCCCCTAATCATGACGTCATCCCGGGTAATAAGTGTGTAATGTGCCATCTCGTGTAATAAGCGCGAAACGTGTAATCCCTCATAATAAGCGCATGTCGTCCTGCGTAACGAGCGTGCAACGCGTCATCACGTGTAATAAGCGTGTAAAGTGCCATCTTGTATAATAAGCGTGTAACTGTAACGTGTCATCCTGTGTAATAAGCATGTAACGCGTTATCCCGTGTAACAAGCGTGTAGCGCGCCGCTCACACCCACCCGCGGGCACGTAGACGTTGAGGAACAGGCAGTCCTCGCTCTGGTCCCGCACGTGCGCGGCCAGCGTGTCCAGGCTGGCGGTGAACCACACGGGAAGCATGTCCCGCAGCAGCGCGCGCTCGTCCAGGTGCTGCGGGCACACGGGTGCGAATCGCGTGGCGTCGCGCACGCCGGGCCACGGGGACGGCGGCTCGGGCGGCTGGAACCGGCGCTCGCCGGTCGGCGGCGCCGCGTAGGGCACGCCCAGGAACTGCTCCACGGGGTCCAGCACGCCGCCCGGCAGGGGCGCACGCAGCCCGCGCAGCTTCCCGTACCGCGTGCTCACCACGGGCGCCGGCGGCGACGACGCCCACACGCGACAGCACGCCAAGGCGAACACGCAGCACGCCAGCGGCCACGCGCGACACGGGGCCATCGGGGTGGTGTGGGGGAGACGCACGCGTGAAAACGCATGAACACGCGTGACGCGCAGGGTTCCGGGTCAGAGGCCGCTGGGCGTCCTCGTGGCGGGGCCGTCAGTCGCGGGTTTCTCCCAGCATCCTCGGCAGCTGCTCAGGCTGGCGGGAAGGAATGAGGGCGGGTGGTGAGGGGCGGGCACACGCATGTCGCGTGTGTGGCGTGTGAACGTGTGAGTGGTCGGCTCCCAGACGCTCACGTTACACGTGTGACGCAGAGAATCCCACCACGTGATCTCCGGCGCTCACACGCATGAGCACACACGGTTGCTCTGATGGGTACGGACGTGGACACGCACACACGTACATGCATGTACAAGGATGGCCGCCTCCTCCGCCCACTGGGATCCCGCGCACATGCGTGAGGCTCTCACACGAGGACTCGCGCTCTCACGCGTGAAGACACGCCCACCGCCCGTGAACCGCGCACTCGCTGCAGACGCGCACAGCCGTGTCGAGGCACACGCGTGCTCGGGCGCCAACGCGCTTACCCCGACATCCGTGTTCGGCGACGTCACCCGGGCCGCGGCTCCGAGGCTCCGCCCAGCTCAGCACATGCGTTGCCCTGCGCGGGGGAGGGGCGGGGACGACACGTGATGGCGTCACACGGCCCTGCGTCCCACCCCGCCGCCGGCACACGCGTGTGACATCGGGACCCGCGTCCGTGCCCGCGTGGGGGAAAATTCCCGTGCTCACACGCGTGTGCACGTGCGATACGAATGCGAGCCACGCGCAGCAGAGCACGCTCAGCGGTGCGAACACGTGAAATGCGTGGGAATGGAAAACGACGGGGATGGACACGCGGGGAAGGGAGACGAGCGGCACGACACGGGGAGAACACGCGTGTAATGAAAACATGCGGGAGACAAATGCGGAGAATGGAGCGGGTTTTAATGAGTGGGACGGATGAACATGGCTGAACACACGTGCGGAACCCGTGACGGGAATCACACGGGAAGGAAAGGAACCCGTGTGGAACGGCGAGGGGCGGCCCCAGGCAAACACGGGAATGGTGACCACGTGGTGATGATGTCATGCGGTGGTCACGGCGATGTCACACAATGGTTGGGATGATGTCGCCCGATGACACGTGATCATGTCGCCTGATAACGTGGTGATGTCACACGATAACACGTGATGTCTCCAGTTAATGTGATGATGTCGCCCGACAACACATGACGATGTCACCAGTTAACGTGATGATGTCACCCGATTGGGATGATGCCACCCGTCGACAGTACACACGCGTGTGCGAACGAATGCCCCGCGTTCACCTTTCACGGACAGCACACGTCAGCACACGCCACGGGCGACGCTACAACGACGACGACATCGGCGCCGAGGCCCTCGGGGGGGTCGTGTCCGGGCGCCGCGTGTCCGTCACCGCCTCAGGCGCCATCTTGACCCGCGTGGGGGACTCTGGTTCGAGGCCTGTGGGGGAGAAGAGACGTCCGTGATGGCGTGTACGGTTACACGCGTGGTCACGCGTGAACGCTGGTCACGGAAACACGCACGGCTGTGGCTTCTCTGGGAAGGGAGGGCCTGAGTGCGAATCCCAGCCTGGAAGACCGGACACGTGTGCGCACTACACACAGTATCAGTGTGACACCACCACGGCTGCAGGCGTGTGTGCGTGATTTACCTGCAGTAGGTGCGGTGCGTGTGCACTACCCGCGTGTGCGAATGCACGTGTGCAGACTGAGGGGTCGCAGTGGGCCGTGGATACGCGCACGTGCACACGCAACACACGCATGATGGGACTGAGTGTGAACGCCACGCTCATGGGTGGGAGTGCGCGTGGGTCGGGGAAGCGTGTGCACATGCGTGCGTGTGAATGGCGTGTGAACACGTGTGACGTGGACTGGCCGAGGTGGGGCGTATGCGTGTTGCTGCAAATACACGTGTGTAGACTCAGGGTGAACAGACACGTGCGCACACGGAGAGCGTGAAAGATGTACGTGGGCGTGGAAAATAAAACCGTGAGTGGGGATGTGGACACGATGACACGCATACACACGGTCTACACACGCTTGTACGCGCACACGAGGGGCCGGCACGGCTGGTCACGAGGTGTGGGCACCTGGTTGCGGGGTTTAACACGCACGGTCAGATTCTCATCGGCGTCCCTCGCGTGCCAGAAGTGAACGAATGTGAGTCTCACACGCGTGTAGCAGCAGCAGCACGCGGACGCACACGCCACAGCTCGCTCACACTCGGTCTCGGGCTGCGCGGGACGCGGGGTGAATTCTCACGCCTTTCACGCGCGCGAGGCAGATCCTCAGCGCGGAACCGGGTTCGAATCCTTAAAAAAAAAAAAGAAATTAAACAGAAAACGTGATTGAAACAGGGAGCAAGCGCACGCACGCGAGTGTGAACCGTGACGTCGACCCGGGGGCCGCGTGGCGCGCTCTGCGGAACACACGCGGGACACACGGGATACGAATGACCGCGTGAAATTAAAATTTTTTATATTTGTCATAACATTTTTACTCTTTAAGAAATCACACGCTAGCCACGCGTGTCGGACATCACGCTGCACACGTGTAACACACGAAATAGAAAATAAAAATAAATAAAAAATAAATAAAATAAAATTCATAACACGGACCCAAAGCGTGACAGGGGCGGGACCCTGGGGGGGTGACTGACAGCTTGGTGGAGACCCCCGCCCCCCCCCCCCCCCCGGGAAAAAAAAAAAAAAAAAAACCCCCAAAAAAAAAAAAAAAAAAAAAAAAAAAAAAAAAAAAAAAAAAAAAAAAAAAAAAAAAAAAAAAAAAAAAAAAAAGAAAAAATCAAATTAAATTAAAATTAATTAAAAAAGCAGCCACATAAAAAAAAAAAGCCCGGATGGATGATGACAACGGAAAAAAAATAAAATGAAATACAACTAAAATAAATCCTGAATTACGATTGGAACCGAACTAAAACCGAACTCAACCGGACCCCGCTCCCATACCCTCCCCCTCCCGCGGCAGCGGCGCCAAGATGGCGGCGGCGGGGGATTAAAAAAAAAATTAAAAATTCAGCCTAAAAAAAAAATAATAACAATTTTCACAAAATTATCAGAAATTAAAAAAAAAAAAACCGGGAAATTAAACCTAAAAAACCCGGATTTTCCTCGGCGCCGGCGCCCCGCCCCCCTCCTCGTACCTGCGGCTGCGCGCGCTGCGTCCATCCGGGACCCGGGAAGAAAAAAAAAAAAATACGGAAAAAACCGGATTAAAGGAAACAAAAATAAATAAATTAATAAAACTAAATTAAAGAAAATAATGAAATCCGCCAGGAATAAATTTCCGCGGCGAACAAACAACAACGCGGTTTTATTTTCTCCCCCTCCCGTTTCCCGGCGCGGGGAGAGGACGCCGGGGTCGATGCAGCCCGGGCCCCGCCCCCTCCGCGGCGGCCCCGCCCCCCGCGCGCGCCGATTGGCCGGGACGGACGGCGCGGCGGCCAATGGCGGAGGCGGAGGCCTTGGCGACAGCGGCTGGGGGTGACTTCCGGGGAGAAAGCCGCCGAGCCTGCCGGGAGATGTAGTTCTCCGGGATCGCCGGTTTACGGCCGCGGAAACGGGGCAGCCCGGGCCGTTTCCGGTGTGTACCGGAAGTCAGGTGGCTCACCGGATAGCATTCTGGGAGATGTATTTCTCCCCGGGATCACGGCGTAACGACCGGGCACTGCCGGGCCGCGGAAACAGGGCCGCCCAGGCCGTTTCCGGTTTGTACCGGAAGTCAGGGTCTCACCGCAGAGCATTCTGGGAGATGTCGTTCCGTACGGATACCGCGTACCGGCCACTGCGGGGCCGCGGAAACGGAGCAATCAAAGCCGTTTCCGGTTCGTACCGGAAGTTTGGGGGTACACCGCAGAGCATTTTGGGAGATGTAGTTCTCCGCGGATCACCGCGACCGACAGGGCACTGCGGGGCCGCGGAAACGGGGCCGCCCAGGCCGTTTCCGGTTTGTACCGGAAGTCAGGGTCTCACCGCAGAGCATTCTGGGAGACGTCGTTCCGTACGGATACCGCGTACCGGGCACTGCGGGTCCGCGGAAACGGGGCAATCAAAGCCGTTTCCGGTTCTTACCGGAAGTTTGGGGGGTACACCGCAGAGCATTCTGGGAGATGTAGTTCCCCCGGATTACCTTGTACCGGGCACGGCGGCGCCGCGAAACGGAGCAGCCAAGGCCGTTTCCGGTTTGTAGCGGAAGTCAGGGGTCTCACTGCAGAGCATCCTGGGAGATGTAGTTCCCCCGGATTACCTTGTACCGGCACGGCGGAGCCGCGCAACGGAGCAGCCAAGGCCGTTTCCGGTTTGTAGCGGAAGTTTCGCGGTCAACCGCAGCGCATTCTGGGAGATGTAGTTCCGACGGGAGCCCTGTGCGCTCACCTGCGCTCTTCCGGATCGAACACCGCGGGGACTCAGCACCGAGCGCCAAGCACCCAGCGGACTAAGCACTGAGGGGACCGAGTACCCCAATGTATTAAGCACCAAGCACCGCGGGAACTTAATACCTAGCACCGAGCACCCAGCAGCGGACTGAACACCGAGCAACCGAGGTACTAAACACCGAGCACCGCGGGGACTGGGCACCGAGCACCAAGCACCGTGGGGACCGAGCACAGCGGGGACCGAGCACCAAGCACCGCGGGGACTCACCACCGAGCACCGTGGGGACCGAGCATGCAGCACCGCGGGGACTCAGCACCGAGCGCCAAGCACCCAGCGGACTAAGCACTGAGGGGACCGAGTACCCCAATGTATTAAGCACCAAGCATCGCGGGAACTTAGTACCTAGCACCGAGCACCCAGCAGCGGACTGAGCACCGAGCACCCCAGGTACTAAACACCGAGCACCGCGGGGACTGAGCTCGGTCTCCCCACCCGGCCCTGGCATTTTGGGGAAGCGCGCGGGGGTCAGATAGGAAGTGGGGGTGCTGGGTGATTCGGGTGCTGGGCGCTGTGCTGAGTCCTCCCGGGTGCTGAGTGCTGTGCTTGCTGAGTCCTCCCAGGTGCCAGGTTGATTCCGCGGGTGCTGTGCTGAGTACTCCCGGGTGCTGGGTTCTGTGCTGAGTGAGTGCTCCCTGGTGCTGCTGGGTTCTGAGGCCTCCCGGGTGCTGTGCTGAGTCCTTCCAGATGCTGGGTGCTGGGCTGAGTCCTTCCAGGTGCTGGGCTGAGTCCTCCCGGGTGATTGACAGCTGACCCCATTGCCCTTCTGTCCTCTGATTGACAGGCGACCGCCCGACCTGGAACCTGACCTTCGACCCCGGCTCCCGGCGAGGTCAAGGGGGCGATGACGTCATCACACCCCGTGACGTCGCCCCCGGCTTCAACAACAACAGGCTGCCCTGACCTAAGATGGCCGCCACGGCTTCGACGTGCACCGCCCTGACCTCATCCCACTTTGCTGCCGTGATCCCTGACCTCAGGTTCGGGGGCGGGGCCGGGCCCACCCGTGACCCCTGCTGACCTCAGCCTCCCCCACCGACCCGGAAGTGACGCCATCGCCAGGCCGGGGTTTTATTTATTTTTTAATAAAAATCCGGAATCCTCGATATTAGTGTGGCCTGTCAATCACCACGTGTGGGGGGCGGGACGTCATCCCGGGTGCTGAGTGCTGGGCTGAGTCCTTCTGGGTGCTATGCTCAGTCCCCAGGTGCAGTGCTGAGGCCTCTGAGGTGCTCGGCTGAGTCCCCAGGTGCTGGGCTGAGTCCTGGGTGCTATGCTCAGTCCCCAGGGGCAGTGCTGAGGCCTCTGAGGTGCTCGGCTGAGTCCCCAGGTGCTATGCTCAGTCCTACCATGGACTGGGTGCTGTGCTGAGTCCTTCTGGATCCTTGTCTGGGCCTTCCATCCAAGATGCTAGGTTGGGACTCCAGGTGCTCTGCTGAGTCCTCCTTTGTTGTTTTGGGTGCTGGGCTGAGTACCCAGGTGCTGTGCTGAGTCCACACGGGTACTGGGCTGAGTCCACACGTGCTGTTCTGAGTCCGTCCAGGTACTGGGTGCTGTGCTGAGTCCTCCCTGTTGCTGGCCAGAGGCCTCTTGGGTGCTCAGTGCTGTGCTGAGTCCTTCTGTATGTTCTGCTGAGACCTTCCAGGTGCTGAGTGCTGTACTCAGTCCTCCTGAGGGCTGGGGACTGGGCCCTCCCAGGTGCTCTGCTGAGTCCTCCTTTGTTTTGGATGCTGCTGTGCCTAGTCCTCTCGGGTGCTGTGCTGAGTCCTCCTCCCGGTGCTGGGCCGAGTACCCAGGTGCTGCGTCTCAAGGTGCTGGGCTGAGTCCTCCTTTGTTTTTGGTGCTGTGCTGAGTACTCCCCCGGGTGCCGCGACGCCCTCCGCTCCCGGAAGCCCCGCCCCCCACCTCTCCGCGACCCCCGCGCACGAGTCCCGGCCCCGCCCGCTGACGTCACCACGACCCCCGACCCCCGGGCGGACGTCGCTCCCAGCACGCACCGCGGCCCCCGCGGAAGTTGCTCAACCCCCGGGGTCCGCGCAGCAGCCGCCGGGAGCCGCGCGCGCAGAGGGAGCGGCGGCGCCTTCGCGCGGGGAAATCTCGCGAGAGTTGGCGGCCGGCGACCCCTGACACCGCGACGACCCTTGACCCCGCGACCACCGCGGCGACCCCGGCCCAGGTGCGCAGCGAGGCGGCGGCGGCGGAACCGGCGGCAACGGCGGGAGGGGGCGGTGACGTCATCGCGCGCACGCAAGCGCTTTCGGCTCGCGCCCGCCCCCCCCCGCCGCCGCCACGGTCGCCGGTTCCCGCGGTGAATTCTGGGAATTCCAGGTGGGCGGGGGGGGGAGGAGGTGAGTGACTTCCGGTTTCTCCGGCCGCCGTGACGTCATTCGCGCCCCGCCCCTTCCCCGCAGGCCCCGCCCCCCGCCGTCATGGCCGCCCCGCGGCTGCCGCTGCTCCTGGCCCTGGCGCCCCTGGCGTGCGCGCTGCTGACGTCGGAGGAGCCGGGTAGGTGACGTCACCGGAAGTCCCGACCCCGGCTGGAACTCAGGGTCCGGTCCGGAAGGGGTCGGGGCCTCCGGTGACGTCAGGCGGCAGGGAGTTCCCGTGGTGGCGTCATCCGGGTGCTGGGAGCTGAGTCCCCCCACCCCGCGGGCCCCGATGACGTCACCCCGGCCCCGCCTCCAGCCCCGCTTTTCCGGAACCTGCGCATGGAGCCCGCCCTGCTGCGCCTGTCCTGGGACGGATACGTCACTTCCGGTTCCCACGACGTCCTGTGCAAGAAGGGGGCGGAGTCGCCGGTGTGGGTGAGTGTGCGGGGCCCCGGGCTGGGGCGGGACTGCGTTTCCCAGAGGGCCGTGGGCGACCCGGATGTGTGGGAGTGGACTACGTTTCCCATAGTGCTCTGGGACAGCGGCCGGAAGTTGGTCTTTGTGGCCACAGTGTGGGACTACATTTCCCATGGGGCTTTGCGGCGCTGACCGGAAGTCGGGTCCTGGCTCTGTGGGACTAAATTTTCCACAGGGCTGTGTGGGACTACGTTTCCCAGAGTGCTCTGCGAGAGCGACAGGAAGTGGGATCCAGCTTCTCTGGGACTGCATTTCCCAGCGTCCCTTGTGCGCCCGCGGCAGGCTTTGACCCCCGACCCCCCAACCCCGCCCTGACCCCTGACTCCCGCAGGCCCCCGCCGGCGGCTCCTTCTGCCGGTTCTCGTCCCTGTCGCTGTGTCACGTGACCAACTTTTCCGTCTTCCTCTACCGCGACCCCCACCGCTCGGCCGCCTCCATCTTGTTCCCCGAGTCAGGTGACCCCGTGACGTCAGAGGCCCCTGACCCCGTGGCCCCTGCGCCCCTGGGTGCTGTGCTGAGTCCTCCCGGGTGTTGCACTCAGTCCTCCTCTCACCTGCTGACCCCGCCCCCTGACCCCTTGACCCCCTGACCCCCCTCCCAGACCCCGACCGCGCCTCGGCTGCCACGAACCTGAGCTGCTGGGTGCACGACGTGGACGTGATGACGTGTCGCTGGGGGCGGGGCCCCGGGGCGCCCGAGCACTTGCAGTACCAGATGTTCTGGCGGGGCGCCTCGTGAGTGGGCGGGGCTGACGCAGGGGCGGGGCTTGCTGTGCGGGGACTTCCCGAATGGGCGGGGTTAGCCAGGCGGGGAAATCCAGAGTGGGCGGGTTAACACACCTGAGAGTGATGTCACTTCCTGTCATGGGCGGGGCCAGGAGTGGGTGGAGCCAGCCACGGACTGGGAATTCCGGAGTGGGCGGGGTTAGCGGAGCTGAGAACGACGTCACTTCCTGTCGTGGGCGGGGCCAACGGCACCCGGGCTGATGTCAGTTCCTGTCCTTCACCCCCTCCCCCCCAGGCAAGGCCGGGACCGGGACCGCGAGTGCGCGCACTATGACCTCACGGACCAGCGGGGTGCACGGCTGGGCTGCCGGGTGGACAGAGCCACAGGGGCGGAGCTTCCGGCTTACGTGACCGTGACGGTGACTGGTGGGGGCGGGGCTTCCTGCACGGACCTCTCCCTGGACCTGCAGCGCACAGGTGAGCGCCTGCTGGGTGCGCGCGTGCAAGGGTGAGCGCCGGCTGTGTGCAGTGGTGAGCGCCTGCTGGGTGCGCGTGTGCAGTGGTGAGCGCCTGCTGTGTGCAATGGTGAGCGCCTGCTGTGTGCGCACGTGCATGTGTGAGCGCCCGCTGTGTGCACAGAGGTCCTGACGCCGCCCGCGCTCACCGCCGCCTGCAACGGGACCGAGGCCGCGCAGCTGCACTGGGAGATGCGGAGCCGCTTCCACCGCAGGTTCCGTTACGAGCTGCAGATCAACAAGGTGACGCCTGGGTGCTGCGCTGAGTCCTCTCGCCTGGGTGCTGCGCTGAGTCCTCTCGCCTGGGTGCTGCGCTGAGTCTTCCCTGGGTTCTGTGCTCGGAATTTCTGGTTCCTATTCTGAGTCCTCTCGCCTGGGTGCTGTGCTGAGTCCTCCTCTGCTGGGTGCTGTGCTGAGTCCTCATTGGGTGCTGCGCTGAGTCTTCCCCGGGTTCTGTGCTCGGAATTTCCGGTTCCTATTCTGAGTCCTCTCGCCTGGGTGCTGCACTGAGTCCTCTGCTGGGTGCTACACTGGGTCCTCATTGGGTGCTGAGTCTTCCCCGGGTTCTGGGCTCGGAATTTCTGGTTCCTATTCTGAGTCCTCTGCTGGGTGCTGCGCTGAGTCCTCTCCTGGGTTCTGTGCTCGGACTTCCTGGGTGCTGCGCTGAGTCCCCTCCCCCACCACAGTCTTCGCACCTGGAGCCTGAGATCGAGGAGGTGAGCGCGGTGGGCGGGGCCTCCTCCATCCCCCTCCCCCGCCCTCGCCGCCCTCTGACCCCATGACCCCCCCAGACGTCCGAGAGTCACTTCCGGGTCGCGACCCCCGGCTCCGCCTCCTTCCGCGTCCGGGCGAAGCCGACATCGTCGCCACGGTTCAGCGCCTGGAGCCGCTCGGTGCGGCTGGGTGAGCGGCCGTGACCCCGTGACTCCGCCGCGACCCCGTGACCCCTGCACCACCCCGCCCTGACCACGTGATGTCCCATCAGCAACCAGGGCGGGGGTGGGGGGTCAGGGGTCACTTCCTGTTCATGGCGGGTGGGGGGGGAATCCCGTCCCTGTGACATCATCGCGCTGTGGCCCCGCCCATCGCCCCTGTCTGTCATCACCAACGGAAGGGGGTGGATCTCCTGGGTCACTTCCTGTCCCTGACGTCACTTCCTGTCCCTGCCTGACCTCTGACCCCCGACCCCCGCAGACTGCGACCCCGCCGCCGCTGGGACCGGGAACCGCGGGACCGTCATGGCCACCGCTCTGGCCACGCTGGGGGCGGGGCTGACAGCACTGGGGACGCTGCTGCTGTGCCGGAGGTGGTGATGATGTCACGGGGCGGGGCCCGGAGGGAGGTGACATCATAGAGGGGCGGGGATAAAGGTGAAGTAATGGTGGGCGGAGCCAGTGAGGGCAGCGATGTCATAGGGGGCGTGGCTTCTGTCGGCCCCCTATGACCTTACTTCCTGTCCCCAGGTGATGTCATGGGGGTGGGGCCAGAGGACGGAGAAGATGTCATTGGGGGCGGAGCCAGCGAGGGGCAGCGATGTCATGGGGGGCGTGGCCTCTGCGGTGCCCCCCCCCGTGACCTCACTTCCTGTCCCCAGGCCGCTGAGGGCGAAGCTGTTTCCTCCTATCCCGCGGGTGAAGGAGCCGGGGCAGCGCGGGGAGGAAGCAGAGGAGGCGGTGAGGGGGCGGGGCCTGGGTGATGGGTGGGGGCGGGGCCTAGGGTGGGGGCGGGGCCTGGGTGACAGGTGGCTGAGGGAGAAAAGGGGCAGGGCTTGGGGTGATGGGCAGGCGGCAGGGGAAGGGGGCGGAGCCTCCTCCCCTGTAACACCCCCCCCATTTCCCGCAGGTAGCGTGGGCGGCAGCGGCCACACCCGAGGACCCGGAAGTGACACACGTTACGGACGCATGAGGCCCCCCCCCCTGCCCATCACTCACAGGCGCAATAAAGCCCCAGGGGCTTCTGGGAAAAATAAAGAAAAAAAACGGAGTCCGAGCCTCATAGTCTGTCAATCACGGGCCTGTGGGCGGGGCGGGGCGGAGGTCACGAAATAAAAAACGCTTTTTTTTTTTTCTCCAGGAACAAAGATGGCTGCCGCGTGGTCCATGACGGGGGATGGATGGATGAAAGGACGGAGGAAACTAGTGTAGACTGGTTCAAAAGTGAATCAAACTGGATCAAACAAGTACAAACTGGATCAAACCAGTGTAGACAGGTACAAAAACGGATCAAACTGGATCAGACCAGATCAAACTGGTTCAAACCAGTGTAGACGGCTTCAAAACCAGATTAAACTTCTTAAAACTAAATCAAAGCAGTGTAGACCCGTTCCAAACCAGATCAAACCGGATCAGAGCTGTTCAAAACTGGATCAAACTGAATCACACCAGTGTAGACTGCTTCAAAAGTGGATCAAACCAGTGTAGACAGGATCAAAACCAGATTAAACGTCTTAAAACTGGATCAAAGCAGTGTAGAACAGTCAAACTGGTTCAAACTGGATCAAACCAGTGTATACAGTTAAAACCAGATCAAACCGGATCAGAGCTGTTGAAAAGTAGATCAAACTGGATCAAACTGGTTCAAACTGGGAAACCAGTGTAGACTGGTTCAAAACCGGGTAAAACAGGTTCAAACTGGATCAAATCAGTGTAGTCAGGTTCAAAACTAGATCAGAACGGATCAGAGCTGTTCAAAACTGGATCAACCTGGTTCAAACTAGATCAAACTAGTGTAGGCTGGTTCAAAACCTGAAAAAACTGGATCAGACCGGATCAAACTGGTTCAAACGGGATCAAAGATGGCCGCCACGAGGTCCGTGACGGGGACAGATGGGCGGAGGAAGGGGCGGGGCCGGGGACAGGAAGTGGGGGGGCGGGGGCATCAGGGTGAACAGAGGTTGCGGAAACAAAAGAAAGAACGAATGATTTAGCGGGCGCGACCTTCGTTTATTCACACCCCAGCTGCAACGCCAGGGGGTCAGGTGACATCACCGCCTTGCTCGCCCTGCGTCGTCATCATCGCCCAGATTGGAGCCATCAGATGGTCTCGGGGTCTGCGTGAGGGGGGGGAGAGGAGGAGAACAGGAAGTCCCGCCCCCGTCCCCATTCGAGAAGCCCCGCCCCTCACTCACTTCCTGCTTCCCCACCCCACGGGTCCATCACATGTAAAGAGCGAGGGAAACAAAAGGAGATGAGTGACAGGCGAGGGGGCACAGGAAGGGGCGGGGCCTGGGTGACTGGCACAGGAAGGGGTGGGCTCACCGCTGCGCCCCAGGCACCCCCGCCGCTGCCCGGACCGGAAGTAGCTGACGCCGGCGCCCACGAGCGCCACGACGACGACCGAGACGATCGGGGAGACGATGCGAGCGACGGTGTTTCCTGGGGGGGGGGGGGGGGGGGGGTCAGGGGTCAGGCAGGGGTCACGACCCTCGACCCGGGGTCGGGGGTCACCGCGTGCTCACCCTGGGCTCCGCCTACGTCATCGCCGTGGTGTGTAGGGCCGTGGCCGCCACCGTGCGTGTCATGGCCGCCGCTGTATCCGCCATAGCCACCACTTCCTGTGGGAGGAAAAGGGGGTGAGGGGGGCGGGGCCGGGACTCCATTTCCCAGGATTCTCTGGGTGGGAGCAGATTCGTCTCCCAGGGTTCCTTGTGGCACTGACTGGAAGTCGGTGCGGGGGTGGGCGGGGCCCACATTTCCCAGAATGCCCTGCGTTCGTGGTTGGAGACGGCTACGTGGGACTACATTTCCCACAGTCCTTTGTGTCCTTATCAGGAGGTGGCCACCAGAGACTACATTTCCCACAGTCCTCTGTGTGTCCGTGGCCGGCAGAGACTACATTTCCCACAGTCCTCTGTGTGTCTGTGGCCGTCAGAGACTACATTTCCCACAGTCCTGTGTGTCAGAGACAGGAAGTGGGCGTCTCAGACTACATTTCCCAGCATTCCAAGCGAGTGCCTGTGTGTGTGGGGGGAAGGACAGGAATTGCTCTCCCCCCGAATAAATTTGCATACGTGAATAATAAGCAGCAAAACCCGAGGCCTCTGCGCCCTCCAGGCCCTTCATCTCGCATTTGCATAAATCTGCATAAGTGGATAATTATCTCCGCCCCCAATTGTGCACAGTGGTGGATGATGAATAAATCTGAATGAATTTGCATACATGAATAATTAACCACCACTCTTCCATCGAGACCCAAATACATTCGGGGTTGATTTGCATAAATTTGAATGCATCACATGCCCGCTCCACCAGAAGTGTCCCCGCATTTGCATAACCCCACATATGATTTGAATGCATTTGCATACGTGATGAGCTCTCACCTCCGAAGCCATTGGTGTCGCTGGGCTGTGGGCGGGGCCTGGGCGGCTGTGGGCGGGGCCTGGGCGGGGGGTAGACGCCTGCGGGGGAGTGGGGACTCAGCGCAGCACCCAGGGAGGACTCAGCACGGCACCCATCACCCAAGAGGACTCAGCGCAGCACCTTTGGCATTCAGGCGAGCCCCTGAGGGGAACTTAGCACAGCACCCACGGGGCAGGAAAACCGAGCACAGCACCTGGGATGGGGACTCAGCGCAGCACCCAGCACCTGGGGGACTCAGCACAGCACCAGGAAGGACGCAGCGCAGCACCCGGGAGGACTCAGCGCAGCACCCATGAGTTTACCTCCGCCGCCGTGTGGGTCCGAGGGCAGCGGGTCCGCCGGGAGCTTCGGGTAGAGACCTGGGGAAGGAGAACTCAGCGCAGCACCCACGGGGCAGGGGGACTGAGCATTCAGCACCCTCACCCGCCCGGGGCCCCAGATGGTATCACCCACCCCCGGGCTTCGACGTCGGATCTGGAAAAAAAGAGGACTTAGCATCGAGCACCCAGTATACTGAGCACCAGCACCGAGCACCGAGCTCTAAGCACTGAGCACCAAGCACTGAGCACTGAGCACCTGGGGCACTGAGCACTGAACACCAAGCACCCTGAGTACTGAGTACCAAGCACTGAGCACCAAGCACCGAGTACCAAGCACTGAGCACCCAGCACCAAGCACCCTGACCACTGAGCACCTGGGGCACTGAGTACTGAGCACCAAGCACCAAGCACTAAGCACTGAGCACCAAGCACTGAGCACTCTGGGCTGTGCTGGGGCCTGGACGTCTGTGAAGGGCGACTCAGCGCAGCACCCGGGGCAAAGGCGACTCAGCATAGCACCCGGGGAGGACTCACCGCAGCACCCATCACCGAAGAGGACTCAGCGCAGCACCTGGAGGAGCCAGTGAAGCACCGGGGACAACTGAGCACAGCACCCAGGGAGAACCCAGCACAGCACCTGGAGGACTCAGAGCAGCACCACTGAGAGGGGAGGACTCAGCACAGCACCGGAAGGACCCAGGAGATCACCTGAGGAGGACTCAGCACAGCACCCACGGGGCAGGAAGAACTCAGTGCAGCACCCAGCACCCGGGTGATTCAGCAAAGAACCAGGAAGGACTCAGCAAAGCACCCAGAAGTACTTAGCGCAGCACCTTGGGGAAGGCAGGACTCAGCACAGCACCCACGGGGAGGAAGAACTCAGTGTAGCACCCGAGGGACTCAGGGCAGCACCCGGGAGAACTCAGCACAGCACCCGTGACTTTACCTCCGCCGCCGTGTGGGTCCGAGGGCAGCGGGTCCGCCGGGAGCTTCGGGTAGAGGCCTGGGGAAGGAGAACTCAGCGCAGCACCCACGGGGCAGGGGGACTGAGCATTCAGCACCCTCACCCCCCCCCCCGCCCCCGGGGTCACCTGACGGCGTCACTCACCCCCGCCGGGCTTCGGAGTCGGATCTGGAAGAGAAGAGGACTGAGCACCGAGCACCCGGAGTACTGAGCAACCGGGGCACTGAGCACCTAGCGTTGAGCAGCGAGCACCAAGCACCAAGCACCCAGGGTACTGAGGACTGAGCACCCAGCAACCAGCACTGATTACCGAGCACCAAGCACCGAGTATCTTGGTTATTGAGCATGAAGAACCAAGTATTGAATACCGAGCACGAAGCACCGAGTACAAAGCACTGAGCACCCCGAGCACTGAGCACTAAGCACTGAGCACCGAGCACCGAGTATTTAGCACAAAGCACTGAGCACCCAGCACCAAGCACCCTGAGCACTGAGCACTAAGCACTGAGCACCCAGCACCCCGAGCACCGAGTACAAAGCACTGAGCACCCCGAGCACTAAGCACTGAGCACCGAGTATTGAGCACAAAGCACTGAGCACCCAGCACCAAGCACCCTGAGCACTGAGCACTAAGCACCCAGCACACCGAGTACTCAGCCCCCAGCACCCAGCGCCGCAGCCGCACTCACCGGGGTCCAAGGCGTCCGCGAGGTCAAAGTCGCCGCCGTCGTCACCTGCGCGCGGGGTCAGGGGTCAGGGGTCAGGGGTCGCGGGGTCGCGCGACGTCAGCGGCGCCCGCGGGGGACTCAGCACCCAGCACCCACGGGGGACTCAGCACCCAGCACCCCGCCCCCCCGCCCGTGACTCAGTTTCCACCCCCCCTCGCGGGCGGCGCCCCCGCCCCGAACCGGATCCGCCGGTTCCCGCCCCGCCCGGCACCGCCCGGCCGCCCCTTCACGATAAAAGTCCCCGCGGCTTCCCATA